AATTTGGAACCAGTAGTTGAGGCGCTACCATAGTTAAATGTGCAACAAAAAGATGTCAAAAAAGATGTACTGTAGCTTGTGATGTAGGACCTCACTGAGTAGGGGGACTTTATATAGAGAATATGGGAGTGATAATTGAAAAAGAAAAACTTTCTCAACATATAACTTTTTGGTGTGGAGTTCATATCCTCACTAAAAATCTTTTAGAGGGATGTTCCAGAAGAGGATGGAAACCTCTTTTTGCCACGTTATACATCCATCGTGAAGGTCTCTCAAAGGGACTATATATACAAACTCTGTCTCTGTGGCTCTCCTTTTGTGAGCTTTAGGGATTTCACAGTATGCTAAAAGCCCAGAAATTTGCTATCTCCTTTCCAAGCCAGACAATGGGTCTGTGGCCTCACCAACAATGTACGACTGCAGAAGTGCTGGCTAAAACCCATCTCCAATTTGGACTGGGAAGAGTTGGATCCTGTTGTTTTGATTTTTATTCTAATGTTTATATCCTTTTCACACAGCTTTCCTTGTGACTGGCTTTTATTTGGCCCTCAAGCTTAACATTTGGAACTTCTATTGAATGTTTTTTTTGGCATCTCAGAAAATAATGTTGATTCTTGCAGTAAACATCTTTCTTTTGTGTTTTGTTTCATTTTCTATTCTATTCTATATGAGCTCTTATCCAGTAGCTCATCAAACAAACTGAATCAATTAAAGCAACCAAGTAACTAACATCTGCTATGTGTTTGCCGCCATTCTTATATTCTCTCCAGGGCAAGAAGTGTGTGCTTTGGAATAGTTAGCAGTCTATTATGGTATATGTGAATACTTGTTGTTTACAGAAGGCAAGATCAAAGAAGCTGATGGTACTTTAAGTTGAGAGTTGCAAAGTTTATGGAAGCTCTGTGTTAGGATGTTCATGATGCAGGCTTTGACACTCCAGGAAAGCATCATTTCAAGCTGAGCACAGTTTTACCGTTGAATAAAACAGTCCACTGTGTAAGTAAAGGGCTCCCTTGTGCTGAAGGAGAAGTTGTCATCTGTGGTCTTTGCCCAGGGGTTGGAGCCACTCGTTTAAATGCCACAAATTGTTCTGGTGGTGCCTGGCTCAATATCACGGAAATATTAGAATGAGTCCAGAGGAGAGCCACAAGGATGGTCAAAGGGCTGGAGCATCTCTCCTATGAGGACAGGCTTAGGGAGTTGGGGTTATTAATCCTGGAGAAGAGAAGACTCCAGGGAACATTACATCAGCCTTTCTGTACCTAAAGGGGGCCTACAGGAAAGCTGTGGAGGGACTCCTTTTCAGGGAGTGTAGAATAGGACAAAGCGTAATGGCTTTAAACTGAAAGAGGGTAGGTTTAGATTAGATACAAGGAGGAAATTCTTAACTCTGAAGGTGTTGAGGCACTGGAACAGATTGCTCAGAGAATCTGTGGATGCCCCATCCCTTGAAGTGTTCCTGATTTAGGCTGGACAGGGCTTTGAGCAACCCCATCTGGTGGGAGGTGTCTCCACCCATGGTAGGGGGGTTGGAATTAGATGATTTTTAGGGTCCCTTCCCACTCAAACCATTCCATGATTCTATGAATATCCTGGTCTATGTCTCAGGGATCAAGGTCACTGAAAGTAAAACAAGAAATTCTTCAGATCCTGAAGCTTCTCTTGACCTAGTTTTCTTGAAACTCTCCTGTGCATTCCTGGCTCTATCTAAAAGTCACTTAACAGTAGGATTATAGCAGGTTCCAGATGATGGCCTTCCTAAGCAGGATCCATTTCCTCTTTGTATCTTGCACAAATTATGAATACAGTGCCCTCAAAATAAAGCAGTAAATTGTTGCTCACCAAATTTATTATACAGTGTAATTACATGGATACCATTATGAGTATCATCTGCATAACCAATATGGGTTTATATTGCTGTCTCAACAATAAGTCTGTCTAGTGTTCAAAGGAATGCTGTGCACTAAAGTTCTTGTTTTGCTATTTCTAAGTAAAACATTTTCTTTTTGTCATAGTTTCCACCCACTCCCAATAATCTTAGATCTTGCCTGTTTTTTATAACATTAGCTTACATTTCTAGTGAATTGTTCATCTTAATGAGTTGTTGAAAATGAAGTAGAGTTTTACTCACTGAAATTAATCAATAAACAGAGTTAGTTTGATTTTGAATATACTTTGACCTCCAGTTGCTCCAGACTCCGAGAAGCGTTAGGCGGAATTTATGCTGTTGTAAAATCATGGCTTGCCTCTTGATCCTGAGTGAAGTGCATTACTGTTTATCGGCTGAGTCCTGCTGCCCTTCATCTGTGAGCAGAGATCAGTGCTTTTATTTTATGTCTTAATCATTTGTAAAAGCTGAGCCTTGGGAAATACTTTGAGCAATGGTGTTTTACAGTCATTCTGTTAGCTAGTAAATACCTGTCTTCTAACTACATCTTAAGGTGTAAAATCACCTCTATATACTCAGTTTATCATCCTGTAAAAAATGACCATTCTCTGTCATTCTTGTTTAGAAAGCAGTATTTCTCATACAGTTCCCTGCCCCTCCCCCCCCCCCCCCCCCCCCCCGCCCCCCCCCGCTCCCTTTTGTGTTTTAACAGAATGAGAACTTATCTTGATTGTATGGTAGTCTATGCACACAGTAAGATTAATGTTTCCAACTGGTTTGGATTTAAGATAAGTTGTTTAAAGGAGTTTGTAGTACTCTTTTCCATTTTCAAAAATAACATTTCTTTGACTACATAAATAAATCTCACTCTGGATACAAATATGTTTTTTCAAAATTAATTACCAGAGAATATATTTATCTGCACCATCTTCAGGGCCTAGTTGTTGAAGTCTTATAGATGTCAGTAATTACACACAAGAAGATAACTGAGATGTCCAGTAGCTTTGGTTTGAAAGAGTCTTCTGAACAAAAATTTGTAAATACATGCTTGTAGCATTACACTCTGTGTTCCTACTTGCACGAGGAACTACAGAAAAACAGAGCAAGGGATATACTGAAAAGAGAACAGTACTGAATAGATCTGTATTGATGTTTGTGGCTATCTTAAAACAAACAAATAAAAAAAGTAACAACAACAAAAAACACAACACCAAAGAAACAACTATAGAAAAACAACAACAAAATTGCATGTAGGGAGGTTAAAGGTAAAGAGAATGAGAAGTTCATGGCTCAGAATGTCCTTTGTAATGTTCCCCTAAACAGAGAAGTGGATCTGCAGTTAAACCCTGGGTGTCTTAACTTATTCACTAAAACACTGAGCTCCTGGTGGTCTATTTTCTCTGTTCTCTCTCTGGCTGGAATGCACCGGAGTGGCAAAAAGACAAGAGTAGTTCTTTCCTTCATGGCAGTTGCAGGGAGTTACTGTTCTAAATAACAGGTGTTCTGCACCACAGAGCAAATATATAATTGCATCTCACAGATACTACAGAATAGTCTTGGAGGGATTCAGCTTCTCGCTGATAGACTTTTCAAAGCAGTTTGGTGCTTTGCCTCCGAGCATGGATCTGTATCTCAATTTCCTTCTCCTCTCCTTGGCATTTAATAAGTTTGAACCCAGTTTTGTAGAGTTTTTCCCATTTCTGTCTTTTGCTACAGTCAACAAGTGACCAGGACAGCACTGTGCATGAAGGTTGACCCTACAGTGGAGCAGGATGGGACCTCCATTTAGGTCCCACTGCAGTAAAATGGTATTGGGAGTTCTGCAGTGGAGTGGATCCCTCCCTCTGAAGCAAGCAGCCTTGCAGGGGTATCACCCACTTGGGGTGATAGACTTGAAAATGAGCTGCAAAATGTCTCCATCTCCACAATGCATCCAGTTTAAAGTCAATCTGTTTTAAAAATATGAGGTCTGTTCTGCATTAGACAGATGTGCCGAAGAATTGTATGACAAGTTACCTGGGGTGATTGATGAAGCTGTAGCTGGCAGTAACCGAGATGCAGGCTTATCTCTGTTCACGTTATTCACAGTTGTTTCGTACCAAGAGGTCAGTTAGTTCATTTCAGTCAAGTCTTCCCTTCTCCACAAGACTCTGTGGATCTCATCTTTTATTTGGAGATACAGCAAGAAAACACTTGATATCTTTATGGATTGATGGAGTGGGGCTAGATGGCTCTGAGGAACTGGCCTATTAATACAAATGCCCAAGGCAGAATGAAAGCTGAATTCTTTTAGTTGACAATGAATAAAGATTGCAGATTTTTATTATTATTATTATTTATTTATTTTTTGCTTCTTACTTGTTCTGGTGCTGTGATGCAGGACTCACTCTTCAGGGCTGGTGTTCCAGCCATCTACAGTGACTCCTGTTTGAGAAAGTGTCTAGGTTTCTTCTACATAAATAAGTGCTGATGCTCCTGTCTCATGTTAATGTACAGCAGGGGCGTAACCATGTTGCACACACTGTGAACAGGGAAATAGATAGAACTCTAGTGACCTTCATTAACTGAGCCAGGAGACCTTGAGGTGCAGCAGAAAATATTCAAACTCTAACAGATCCAGACTCTGAATCAGCGTTGGTACTACCATAGGAGGCACTGAAAAATAGACAGGTATAGAAAATATTGTGTGTTCCTTGAGTAACTTGCCCATGCCATTAAAGAGCACTAGAACTATATACTTGTATATGTGAATCCACCCAGTAGCACTGGAGGATTACAATGCTCTCTTGCCACAATTAAAATTAATTAACTTCCCTATTAAATTGAAATCAATTAGCTTAGTATACATCAATTAATGTTTTAGTGTCAGAGATCAAAAAATTTTGCTCTCTGTATGATCAGAAGTGATATAATTTCATGAAAAGTGTAAGAACTGCCACTTTAGGCTTGAAGACAATGGTTTCTTAGAAGGAAAGCAAGAGCTAAATTATCCTGAAAAAAAAGAAATTAACTTATTGTCTGGTAACTGTATCTGCCTTTTTGAATTCAGTTGCAGCTGAATAATTTACAGAAAAATGTGGAAGCATTTAAATGTCCTTCTGTCTATCTGCAGGTATCCACAGTTACGTGCTAAGGCAAAATTTTTCTGGAAGTTCCATCTCTGGAAGCTTCTGTTTCCAGAAATGACAATTGAACACCAGCTTCTCAGCATTACCATAGTGATTGTATCCATGCTGTGGCAAAATAGGAAGAGCTTCTGGAACTGACCAAGGTCGTGAGAGGGTTGAGACACTCCAGGTGAGTAGGAAACCAGTGAGCCAAGTACCTTGAGGAGGGAGTGTAGATGTCCAAATATGGACTGGGCAAAATTCTAAAGTCAGGAACTGGAAAGCTTCAAATGCACATTTGATGTTTTCAAGAATACAGAACACTTTTCTGTAGATGACTCCAGAAAGAAATGAATTGGTATTACAATGGAAGTAATTGCAGTTCGCACTCATGCAGATAATGCCGAAAGTAGTGGATTATAAATTGCCAGTTCATATAAATCAATACAGCTCTCCGACACCATAATTGAGATACTTGCTCTTAAGCTTTGTCCTAAATGTTTTGATGGATTATCAAATTTTCTCTCTTTAAACCAAAGATTTCCAGCTTCATTGCAGTATCTATTAAGTATTAATTTCAATGTGATAGTAATACAGAGACTGATTTATCGATAAATTAGGCATTCTTCCTGCACACTAGAAAAATTAAGGGGAGCTAAAACAGAGTCTATAGTTCTCAAATTTTAGTAAAGCTGAGTTAAACTGTCAAATTAATTTAAACCTACTTCTGTGGACTTCTAAATAATGATAATCTTTTTTTTTTTTTTTTTTTTTTTTGTTACAACATTACACAGTAACTGGAGAAAAAAGAATGTGTCAGAAGAGCAAAACAGAATTAAGTGCTCTAATAATATTTTATGTTCTTTTTAGGTTCAATGTAATCTCATTGGGCACTAGCAGTGGAACTGTTCTGTTCAAAATGGTTTATGGTGAATTTTTCCGCAGACCCGGCAAAGATGCAGAACTTATCAATTTGAATGTTGGTGGCTTTAAGCAATCAGTGGATCAAAGCACTTTGCTCCGGTTTCCTCATACCAGACTTGGGAAACTTCTCAAATGCCATTCAGAAGAGGCTATTCTGGAACTATGTGATGATTATAGTGTTGCAGATAAGGAATATTACTTTGACAGGAACCCTTCCTTGTTCCGATATGTTCTGAATTTTTACTACACTGGGAAACTTCATGTCATGGAGGAGCTTTGTGTCTTTTCCTTCTGTCAGGAAATAGAATACTGGGGGATAAATGAGCTGTTTATTGATTCCTGCTGCAGCAATCGGTACCAGGAAAGGAAAGAAGAAGGTCCCGAGAAAGACTGGGATCAGAAAAGCAATGACAGAAGCATTGACTCCTCTAACGAAGAATCATCCATATTTGATAAGGAGTTGGAAAAGTTTGATAATCTGTGCTTTGGTGAAATAAGAAAGAAGATATGGGTCAGGATGGAAAATCCTGCATACTGCTTGTCTGCCAAGTTAATTGCGGTGTCCTCCCTAAGTGTTGTCCTGGCGTCAATTGTGGCAATGTGTATTCACAGCATGCCTGAGTTTCAAAGGCTGGATGCCAATGACAGGGAGATTGAAGACCCTGTGCTGGAAGCTGTGGAGATTGCGTGCATTATTTGGTTCACTGCTGAGCTAGTGATCAGGCTCATCACTGCCCCAAGTCAAAAGAAGTTCTGGAAGAAACCACTGAATATCATTGATTTTGTCTCTATTATCCCATTTTATGCCACCTTGGCTGTGGATACGAAGGAAGAAGAAAGTGAAGATATTGAAAACATGGGGAAAGTGGTTCAGATCCTGCGGTTAATGAGGATATTTCGCATCCTGAAACTGGCCAGGCATTCTGTAGGACTGAGGTCTTTAGGCGCTACTTTGAAACATAGCTACCAGGAAGTTGGACTTCTCCTTTTGTTTTTGTCTGTTGGGATTTCTATTTTTTCAGTTCTTGTCTACTCAGTGGAGAAGGATGACGACTCATCAGAACTGCACAGCATCCCCGTTTGCTGGTGGTGGGCAACCATCAGCATGACCACTGTTGGTTATGGGGACACTTACCCAGTCACGCTTGCTGGAAAGCTGCTTGGCACCCTATGCATTATCTGTGGGATATTAGTGGTAGCACTTCCAATCACCATTATTTTCAATAAGTTTTCTAAGTACTATCAAAAGCAAAAAGATATTGATCCAGACCAATGCAACAATGATCGCAAAGAGAAATGTAATGACCTACCTTATTTTAACATTAGGGATATTTATGCAAAAAAGATGCACTCATTCATTTCTAGCCTTTCTTCAGTAGGAATTGTAGTCAGTGACCAAGATTCAACAGATGCCTCCAGCATTCAAGATATGGAGGATGTTTATAACACAACATCTTTAGATAATGGTACAGGAAAATGAGTTGAATTATTTCTCCTTCCTTTATTTCTCTCTTCTGATCCTTGGTAAATGTGGACTTAGAAACTTCAGTGAATTTATTAAGAGCAGTTAATTCTCAGGGTACTTAACTCTCAGCCATATTTGGACATTCTTTGCTCTGAGGATGCCATACAGGCTTCATTGTTTATATGAGGCTTTAAAATATGCCTCATATGGTGGTTTAGCTTTTACACAACTAGCGATATGCATTTTGGGGAGAAAAAAAGAAAGGCAGGAAAACAGATTTAAACGTGAGATTGGAGTTTATTTTATTTTATTTTTTTATTTTTTCCTGTAGAAATCTGATAGCTTATATGTTCAGGCAGACATATATTGCAAACATATAAAAACTATGGCACATCAGTAAAGTCTTTACCTGCAAATACATCAGAAGAAAGAAGGAATTATGTACATGTAAAACTGTAAAACATTTATCTAATACTGGAGTTGGGAAGCAGCTTCCTAAGCTGGGACAGAAAATGTATTGGTACATACTGTTTTTACTCCATGGAAGCATAATATTTATGAATTTCTTTCCAAAAGCACAATACATTTTTAGTTTGTTAAAATAAATTAATCCCATTGTGCCTGTATTTTTCCCAGTGTTCCACATCCAGTATGGCCAAGCTCTGGCAGGTCCCAAAGGGTCTAAATCATGAGTCCTAGGATGAAGCATGTGGCCTAGGGCTGGAAAGGAGAGTATTGTACCTTTTTACCACCTTTTCTGTCATTGCAAACCTGAGCAATTCTGGTGCCTGGAGAGGATCCTGCTGTTATTAAGACCACCCTAGTGGCTTCCCCAGAGGCTTTGTTTTATGGGTACTGAAGCAAACATCTCTGGTGGTCTTTAGAAGTTATTGCTCCCTGCTGTCAGCTCTGCTTCCTTGCTGGAGGTTAGAAGAAAATGTGAGCAGCATCTCAACTGCACTGGTTCTCAGTCCAGGACTGTAATGCCAAGGAATGGAGATGCATGGACGTGCTCTCTTCTACCATATATTGACCATCTGAGAGGTAGAGTGTGCAATGCATGTGGGCATAAGTAAAACTGTTGCAGCTCATTTTTCTAAAGATTTTCTGTTGATGACAGCAGCCTTCCTGGCTTGTGCTATGGACTGGAGCAGCTCTCATTGCCTGACAGAGTGCTGCAGCACTGTGCATCCCTCTCTTCTCCAGGGTTTTCTTATGCAGCTAGCTAATCCTGCTCTGGTTCAAACTGTATCTTCTAGAGCTATTTAAAAGGGAAGCTGGCCCTTGAGCCTAGCAAGAAGAAGTGCTGGAGAAACTTGAGGGCATTATAGTAGTTAATAATATTTGTGAACATAGGGGTTTTTTAGGTTTTTGTTTTGATTATTTTTCTGGTGACTAAATTAGATGCTGGGCAATGGAGAATCCAAGCTACTGTGATATTGATATTTTGCTTAAAGAGAGGATTTTTTTTTTTTTTTTTTTTTTTGTAATTCCTATTGGGCTGAATCAGTTTCTACTCAGGCAGATCAAACTCAATAGGAGTTGACTTCAAGACTGAGTAAACCCAGATGGGAATCAATTACTCTGCAGAATAACCCAGAAGGCTGATTTTTCATGTGTGTGCCAGAATTTCTACTGCAAAGTACACTGAGTGAATAGCTGAAGTGCACTTGTACTTGCTGAGGCACAGAGCTCCAACCTCTTCCCAGGAGAATGAGAAAAAAAGAATGGGGTGGATCAACCTGTACCTTGGAGAGAGGTGTCCCTCAGGACTGTTGTGCACCAACATAGTATTGTGGGAATACTCTGAGCTTTGGAGAAACTTCAGAATTTGGTTTATTAGTTGCTGAGTATCATAAGTGTATGTGATGCTTCACAGATAATTTAGGTTAATTCTTCCCATTGTTAATGCAGGAAAACCAAAGGGAAAGTTAGCCTAGATGTGTTTTGTTCTTAGTGAACAATTAGTATTACAAAGATGCAATGATATAAAATGCTAAATATGTATGTGCATGTGAATGTAATAAGAACCAGCAGAATAACAGCATAAAAATTGCTCTGTCCAAAGTAACTCTCTTGGCAGTTTCCACATAAAGATAAATCACATTGCTGTTGAAGTTCAAAAGGAATGAAAAATATTGTAATGCAAGAAAAACGGCAAGAAATTTCTATTAAATCATTGAAAAAACACACGCTATTGAAAATCTCATTTTGTATATTAAACATTACCCAAAGATCACAGAAAAATTGTACTAAATGGTAATTTATCATAAAATTCATAAGTTCTTGATCGATCACATTAATCAATCTTAAAAATTTGACACTAAGTTACTCTTTTTTTTTTTTTTTTTTTTTAATGTGTAGATAAATCTTGCAACACAGTGAGGTATATCTTTTGGACCATATCAGAAGGTAGAGTACGTGTCCATGTGTTATGCCATGTGTTATTCTGGGATGAGACCAGAACTCTGTTCATATCAGTTGCATCTTTTTTTTTTTTTAAAAATTTTTTTTTTTTTTTTTTAAAAAAAAAGGCTTTGTTGTTATCTGTTTCCTTTGCTGGAATAAATCCAGCTCCTCAATTTGACATGACATGGAGCAGGATGTGAGCCCTGTTTCATGCCAAAAGTTCTGCCCTCAAAGCAGAACTTTGATCCTTTAACATGCAGCGGTACGGAAAAGTGACACAAGTCTTGAGTGCCAGCAAATAGCAGATGAGAGTAAATACAGAAATACTGCATACTCTTTCTGCTAGTGGTAGTTTTAGTAGAATTTACTGTTAAGAAGTGAGTGTAAGAGGAGATTTGTTTCTTATTTATTTCGTCTTCTTTCCTGGTCTAGAGTTATATAATATCAACACAGTATCAATGGAAGGCAGATTGTCTTTATTGCTATTTTATTCCTGTACCACATGCTTTTCTCTTTTAAAATGCTGCCTAAATTCTCTTCACTCATCTGCTCTGTTTCAGATACCAAAACACAGAAGAGGTTATGTTCAGATATGCATCCCATTTTGTATGGGAGCAATTTGCTTGTCTTTATACAAAACAGTTTTCTGGCACATTATTAGTTTCTTTGTCTTGATGGCAAGCACTTCCCTTTTGATATTCAGTATTTCCACAGTAGCAGTTGTGCTAGCAGAGTTCTCCCCCAGTGTGATGTAGGATGGGGTATCGCCCAGCTTGTCCCAGTTTACGCCCTGCCGGGAGCAGGCTTTGTCACTGTTGCCTTTTGGTGTGTGTCAGGAGACTTTAAAAAGCAAATGTAGAGGAACAAGAGGGAGGTCTTTCTGAGTCCAGAAGGGCATCTTTCATTTGCCTGGCTGGCAACAAACAGAGCTTAGCTGGGGTGAAATTAGTGAATAGTCTTGTTGTGCGTATGGACACTCTTATGGGCTGTGCTTTTTTGTGTAGGAAAAGTCAGTATGTGGTGCAAATCAGTGGCAAAGCATAAACATAAGCTAAATAAGTGATAGCACATCTGTGTTAGGCAAAGAAACAAAATATAACTTATCGGTTAGGTAGAAACTAGTGTCAAGCACTGTAATGCGAAATATTACCATTTAAAAGCAGAGCCTGGTCTGATTTCCATGCGAACAGGTTGCTGTCAGGGAATGCTGAAAGTGTCAGGCAGCTTTGACTGGTAAATGCAGCATACGGTCTCACCCAGGCTGGGATGCTGTGTATTAATGCATTTATTCATTTCCACACATCCCTAACAAGTTGAACAAGTGACAGAAAGCCGCTAAGCTATGGAGAGCTTCTCTGATATTTTTTGATTAGCTGACAGTATTTGTGAAGCTGCTAATACCTCTTCATCCAAAAAAGAACATTTCTGAAACAAAATCAAAATAACTGTGCTAGATGTGCAATTTGTGTCTGATAGCAGTAGCTCAGTTGCAGTCAGTAAATATTACTGTCTGGTGCTCTATAGCTGCAGTGCTGCTGCTTATATTTCTGAGATGTTTATGCTCTGTCAATCAAGAGGCAAGAGCAGATGTCAATAAACAATCTCAGCACTTTCTGCTGCACCATAATTGCAACATCTCTTCTAAGCACAGCAAAATGTCACAACTCACTGAGACTTTTATTTTTTTATTTTTATTTTTTAAATTTCTTCTGTGGTTGGAGTTAATTTTTCATGATGGGCCTATGGTCCAAACACGATCTAGCAGAAGGAAGAGCCATTGTGTGCCTATAGACAGGTTACAAGATGTTGACATTTATTTCCACTCTGGAAGTTGCTCTTCCACTGGCACAGCTAAGGAAGGACAAACAGCAGTAATTCATAGTTAAGGAGCAAAAGGCAGAGTTCCTTTAGGTGTAATAATTAGATTAAATAAAAATGTGACTGCTTCATTGGGAAATTATCTACATCTCATTTATTTTTAATGAATATATTGAAGGGGGTAGTCTTTGCTTGGGATATAGGAAGAAAAGCAAGTCAATGGCTCTCTCACCCAAACCCACGTCTGATTCCCCCAGATCTCATATCAGTGGGAAGGAAAGACTTTGCACCACCCCTAACGTGACCACGAACCTCCTGGCCAAGGAGTTTCCAAATTGAGGGCTGGTTGAGGAGGAAAACCCATTTCTGGCATCTGGCTGGAAAGAGCCTTTCTTGTTTCAGCCATGACAATTTGGTTTCATGAATGAGGAACTCTTAACCATTTCAGTATTTTGTTGATTAAAAGCAATATTATATGGTTTCCTGTAGTGATTTATTAAGGTAATCTTTCACTGTTTCTTCAAGACTTTCAAGTCAGAGCTCAAGAAGGCATTACAATGGTTTAATCTTTAGTTAGTCTCTACTATTTAATGACATATATACTGTCTAATTTTCCTATTTCATTATGATATTCAACAGTATTTCCACTCAAATCCTATTATAACTCACACACAAGTATTCTGGATATTGTTATGGTATAATTTGCTCTTATTGTCTTAGGATTTTTTATGAATCAGCACAGAGAGAAGGGCATCCTGGGCATTATTTATGTCCCCTAACTTCAGCTATTGTGTGGCTGATTGTCTGGACTCTCTCTGTCAACTGAGAAAAAACAGACCTCTTCAGGAAACAGCACATCCTATGTATACAAAGGTCCTGTCAGAAGATGGGACACACGTCCATTGGCTATGTAGCAAGCCTGTATGGTTTAGTTCGGTTAGATGCCTGGCCTTTAGGTAGATAAAGTTAGATGTGATGGGTGTGACACCACAAGGTGTAGGCACTTGACTATGGTGGTGCCATCCCCTGAACAACGTATATGTAGGAAGGGTCATGTCTCTGATGTAGGTCTTTGGACGTGGGTGACATGAAGACAGACACAGGAATTTATTCTGTTACGTTAATGTTGCTCAGTGATGGCTGCTGGGTAGGAATTAATTTGGCATAATATTGCTAAAAACAGCTTCCTGTACAAGAAAATCTGGACTTTCCCAAAAAGCCTTGCTAGCTGTCTGTTAAAGTCTGGAATAACCTGCAAGTTGAACTTCAGTTTCCTTTAGTAATTAAAAAATACACATAATAAAGTACCAGAGGGAGCAAAATAGTGTTGGCAGAGGCAGGCACAGTATGCTGACAGTACTTTTGTGACCCAAATTTGCATTATTTCTTGGCTTCCTGTAAGCTATATGAAATATTCTGACTGTGCCATGTGTTTTAAAGTCTGTCTCTGTACATTAATATAAATATTATAATGGAGCCAACTCCTGGTATTACAGCTGTGAAGCCAGAAAAAATATCCAAGCTTGGAGAAACTGCAAAAACATTGGCTACAACTGCAATATTAAGGTTGTACCTGCCTTAGTTGTGGGGAGGTCAAGGGACCAAACACAGGTGCTGGTACTTGGGTTTCCATTTCTCCCTTTGCACAGTTAGTACTGAGCTCTTCTTGGTAGTGCATAGAGGCTGAGGGACCTGTATGGCCTTGGGAACCACTCCAAAGTCCCTTCATGGGGCTACCATGCTTGTGGTCCTAGGAAGGAATGGGTATGCGTGAGAGTATAATGAGGTCTGTGTGGAATAAACAGGCTTTCAGGAGGTGGAATAATATCTTTGAATTTGATGTCCCCACACTCCTACACCCCTAGGAAGCTACCTGGGAGAGAAAGCAGATGCAAGGGAGAAGTTCAAGGTCCAGATATTTAGCTACAGCCATTTGGGGCCTACTCTGTGTTGTGTTGATCCATGTGCTTTTATGGAATCACAGGTAGAGATTTATATATAACCTTGAACCTGTTCCATTAGATGCAATAATATATTTTCTTCCCATAGGCTTTTTGTTGCAGGGTACAATGTGTCCTTTTCTCTAGGCCAGTTTCTAGCCGTGATGCTGCATCTGCCTTTCACGCTGACTGGAGGTTGGATGCTTCTGAAGTGTTACACATGCTATAAATTATCCTTGCAGCTTCTACCCCATTTCCCAGAAACCTCAAAACTGCAAGCATGAAAGAGTTCAATAAGTTTGTCTGTCCAGAATTACTTTTTGACAGAGTCAAATGTCATGCATTTCAGAGAAAGCAATCTTCTCTGCTCCTGAACTTTAGATTTTAGTGAAATTTAGGACTTTGGGATATTTTTTTTATCAATTATTTGAAGATCAACTTAGGACCTACAGCATGGAGATAGATAATTCTGGCATTTAATTCCAGGAGATGTAACCCCAAGTACACAAATATCCATTTCTTCCTCTCTTCTTCTCTCGTCTCCCTCTCTCTCCCTCCCTCCCTTCCTTCCTCTCTTTTTTTTTTTTTTTTTTTTTTTTTTAATGAGGTTTCAATATTCTGTGTTTAGACTGTGTATCTTTGGAAAAAAGTGTGGTGAATAACTGTACAAAGAGCCGGTGTAATGCTCAGAAGTGCACAGAGATTTTGTATGAAGCAGGAGGACGTTAGTGGCTGACAGCATAGCTTCACAAGCCTCCTGGGTGGAAGGAAAAACAGATTTTATTTATTTATTATTTTTCATTCTTTTTCTCTGAATAGTTCAGGAGGATATGGAGTAACAATCTTGCTGTGCTGTGGTGACTGAGAGTGTTGAATGAAATGATGGGTACATTGAAGTTAAGGCTGTTAAAAACCAACATGACTTTTTTGTAAACACCCCCCTCCCCTGGGTCAATCACTTTTTATGTTGTTCCAACTTTTTTTTGAACACAAAAGCATAACATAAAAAAGCACAGCAATATTTTTCCTTGCAGGGTTTTTTTTTAAAGACTAAATTAGCTGTAGTTATAGGTGTGGAAAGAGAAATGGCTGGTGGGCAGGATGTTGGGGTGCGTGGAATTTATTAGAATTTATTTTGCAATTCTGTTCTTTTGCCTTTGGCACCACACAATTTTATTTATTTTTTTATTTTTTTTATTTTGGTAGTAACTGAAAAATTAAAATAAATAATATATGAATATATTATTTTCTGGAGGTTTTGTTTGTTTGTTTGTTTACACAATTGAATCTGGAGTAGAAAATATCATCTATATTGTTACAGGTTTTGAGGATGAATTATAATCTCATCAGAAGCATTCCTAACCAACATATGGATTCACACAGAGGTATGGTATATATAATGCGTCTTAAGTCACAAAATGTAAGTTCAGTGAATGAAAGGTTAAGAGAAAGGATGAAACTAGTTCTGTCTAGTTGCAGCTTTTGGTACTATAATGTGCTTTTGGCTTTTAGACTGCCTCTGCAAATGGGAGACTAGTACTTTGAGTATTTTATGTATCTAGACACATACATACTGATCGGACAGCTGTCAAAGCATTATTGTGTGGGCTTTTAGAAGTCTGGCACCAAAGGTAACATCTCTTCATCTACTGTGCTGGCACTTGCCGAAGAGTTGCTGCGTTACAGGGGAGTGCGGTGCATGCAGAGTGATCTCATTAGGCAATGCAGTGAGAGCATGCAAGGAGCAATGTGGGTCCTTGCCAAGGGTGCTTTGAGCTGGAACGTCAATTTTTGTTGGCTTACTTTCACTGTAAATCTGTATGTGCACCACTTAATGTTTAAAATCATCCCAATATGATTTAGGGTATCCAGAAAGCGCTTTGAAAATCCAGTTTCCTTGAAAGGTAACACTGAAATGAGGGAGAAAAGGTGGCTCAAATACTTTTTTTTTTTTTTCCCCTGTTTTTTCTGCCCTAGTGTAGGAGTAATGTCAGAGCAGCAATGGGAATAGGATAAAAAAAATGTTGGTGAAAATTCAGTGTTAGGAGAGTCAGTTTAGGGCCACTGTGAGTCCATATGAAAATAAGTGTTGGAGGTATCTGTGGACTGGGGTAGGGAATATGCACACAGCAGGGATACTCCATGCAGCTTTTCTGTATGCTGTGCTTGGGGTGCTGGGTGGAAAGAAGATTATGTCTCTGCACCAGCAGTTTTCTTTTGCATTGCTGCACCACATTGACTGCAGCCTTCTATGCCCTATCCACAATGTTTTTCTCAATCTGATAGCATATTTTCCAAATCAGGGCAGAGGCAATGAGAGCAGATGGAGGGGTGTAATGGAGCAGGAGAAAGGGGGTGATGGCAAGAGTTGTGTCTATAGAGAGGACATACTGCAATGATGCTTTGTTGGAAAATGTTGTCCCCATGTCTTGAAGCTTTTCTTCTCCTCCACTCTTACAGGAAAAAAAAATATTCAATGGAATAGGACTGTGCTATATCATGACTTTTACTAAGTGCAGTTTCCCTTCTTGTGGTCATTTAAAACTGGATAAAGCACAGCAAAAGTAACCTGGAAATAAGTCTGTAGTGGGAATACAACAGCCTAGCTCACTGCATGGTCTCTCTTTCCCTTTCGACTCTGTACTTTATAGCCTAGGAGGGCTTTAGTAACACATACTCCCCTTTTAGGTATATGGCATGTGTTAGGATATATCGTCCATGCAATGTCCCCAGATATTCAGCAAGCTTAAAAAAAGGGTGAATGTAATTTTTGGATTGCCAAGATCCTGTTCTCCCTGTACATATAATTCCAGTATCCACTTACTTTGAAATGCCACTGACTTCATCATCACAAATGCAGTTCAGCACACAAATTATTTACAATAAACCTTACATGGGCTGATTCTTTTTTATTGGAGAAAAAGAGAATAAAAATATACGGCTGTTCATGTAGTGAAAAAAAAAAAAGCAGAAAAAGGTATCTGAAGAATAACTTTCATGGGCAGATATTTCCACAGTTATCAGAGCACGATCTTTGTTGGATTTAATCATCAACGAGAAACTATATATACATGACCATTAAAAAAAAAAGTAAGAAAAGAAAAATTGCTGACTTTTTCCTATCTCTGATTCCTTTCATGAAGATTGAGATACCTCTTTCTCTTGGCTAGTCAGATGATGAATCATTTGTTAATTAAGTGGTCAAAAAGTAGCTGAAAAAGGAATTTGGGACCTGATAAAGCTCAGAATGGAGGAAGCCATCACTGTGATCAATCCTTTCTGGTTCTGACACATTAATTAAGAGATATCTTTGGCAGGGTGATGGAAACTCAAGTGCTGGGAGAATTTACAGCAAAGCTTTTTGTTACTGTCATTGCTACAATACTGGAAGGAACAGGAGCCAATCCTGCTTCCATTGGGAAGCCCAAATTGCAGGTATATCAATATGAGTGGGCACAGATTGGGAGGGACAGACTGGGGCTTGCTCAGCTGTGTCACTGTCATGGTGGAGAGCTGTAGTTTTGGGTGACAGAGGATTGGGATCTTCCCTTGCAGCTCTCATCAATGTTTCATGTGATCCCATGCCAGCCATTCTGTCATCCAACACTTCTGGTTTCCATCATGTCTTTTGCCTCTCTTTTCAAACATTTAAATTGTGTAGGACGACAGTTGTCTCAATCTGTACAATCCTTCCCTAGGGCGAGCATGATGGTCAAAAATGGGGTGGTCTTGCAGAAGACCTCATGTTAGCGTGAAAATGGTGACTTCAGCTGTGGGGAAGTAGAAGAAGTTGAGGTCTTGCTGGAAAAACTGATTTTAGTTTTGGCCAAGCTCTTTAAAATGATCTGTCTTTAATGAAATGTCAAAGGAAAAAAAAAAGAATCATCCTCTGTTCTGTCCTGTCATAGTTATGTAAAATTTTTATATTTTATTAGAGTTAACAATAGATTTTTCTGTTTGGTTGCTGAACCAAATTGTCTAAAATGTCCATAATTTAAGATCCCTTGAACTTTTTTTATGTGGCTCAATGTTTCATTTGATTTTGAAGGGTTAATCCTTCTTGCATCTGATTAAATTTAGGCTGGTTTGAAATAGGAAAAAAAAAATGTTTCACAATGAAAAAAGTTTTTTTTTTTTTTTTTTTGAATATGTCGAAATGCAACATTTCAGCATCCTCAGAAAAAAGATGCTCTTAGAAAATTTCACAATGAAATGTACACTGTTCCAAAATCCTTCCTGCCTTTTTTGTTTTGTTTTTGTTTGGTTTGTTTGTTTTGTGGAAAATTCCACCAACTGTGGGCTGGATTCAGAAATAAAGTTGGTCTCCCTGTCACAGCCCTTTTCAATGAATTCTCTATTCACAAAAAAAGAAAAAAAAAAAAAGTTTTCATCCACTTTTAGCTGTATTCTTTGGAAAATGCTTATGTTCCTTGGAGAATTCAGAGCAAAAATCCATGTCATTTCCATCGTTGCTGTAGCCAATCTGTTGCCTTCTGTTGTGTGTGGCACTCAGCTTGTGATTGGTAAAGCAAAACAAATGGTCTAGTTTGCTTGAGTTGAAAAATAAAATGTAGTTGCAAGAAAATCATATCTTGAGAAAGAAAATGAGCCCATTTTAACAAATTTACAAGTGAGAGCTTCATTATCAAAGTATACTTAAAGCACAACAAACCAGCACATGAAAAGCCTGGTGGACCCCATCAATTTATGTGATTCCTTTGATGGGAATCTAACCGTGAAATCTGATCACAGAGAAAATTATTTGTTTTAAATAGTATTTAAAATTGTATTTACAAATGGATATTTATGTTCCTCTGGAATAATTGGTGGATGTGTTTCAAAAAGAGCTCTTTCCAGTAAACAAACTAGCATCAACCAGTAACTGCTTAGTGGCTGGTAAGCAGAAGTAGAGTACTAAAGTAGATAGAAGGGATCAAGAGAGAAATTGTTCTAATATTATTGTTTAATATTTATGCTTTTTAGTCTACAGGAGAGAATACTTGGACAGATATATCATTCTTAATATATGTGAAAGGCTTGCAAGAAGGAAAAGCTTTTTATTATTATTATTATTATTATTTAATTTATTTTTTTTCTCCTTTAGGCAGTAAGGGAGCTGAGTTCAAGCTGAGGAGAGTGAAGATGGAGGTTAGATGTTAGAAGTGGTTTGAGGATTCTTCCTGCTCCTTTATGACCCCTTACCCAGGCCCAGCTCCAGCTGGTCATTATCTCAGTGACACTGATATAAATCTTTGTAAAGATAAAACATATTTTTCAAATCAGCTGGGTTTAAAAAAAATAAAGCAATTATTTACTGAATCACCAAAATCTGAGTGGGTGGAAGGGAGCTGTGAGCCAATTTGAAACCCCCCTGAATTATTGTCTTCTTGACAGAGACCCAACCCTTTTTTTCCATGACTCCATAGTTGTGGTAACAACCCAACACTTCTGTAAGTTTGCTGGGGATGGGAGAATTCATTCCAATGAGGGCCCAGTTCAATGGTTTCAATAAGGAATCTATTGGGCTGGATACCTGTGTAACAAAAGTTTCTCTGGCTCAAGTATTGGGATATGAAGAGGAGAAAACAAAGTATGGGACCTAGCCTCACACATTTGAATTGCTGTTGTGACACTGTCTTGAGCTTAAGGGGAGAAGCTGATATCTTCTGTGGTGTCAACTAATATTTCCCATGCTCTCTGGCAGAAGTATAGGAAGGGTCTTCAGGGATGAGACCGGGAATATGTTTCAATAGAGACTGAAATATTTTTTTATGCAGTAAACGGATCTTTGGGAACATGATGGGGAGATGTTGCCAGTCTGTCATAAGCAAAATTCTAGGGCTACTCTCTGTTTCTGTCACATTTGCCTTCCTTTTTCTTGGTAGAGCTCATTTTAGTATGTATGTGAGTGTTGTGCAGATTTGATTTATCTTCCTAGCTTCCCTTGTAAGGAAGTGCTAATAATTCTATTTCATTTCTGATTTTAAAAGTCAAAGTGTAAAGCAGAAATGTTTAATCATCTGCTCTGTGATCAGCTTGATTTGTTATGTACACATTTGCATGTAGTAGTGAGAAAGTTTTTCTTGTATCTTGTGTATATGTTATTATATAGCTATTAACATTTTCACTATGTAAACAGAAGTGAGCTGAACTATAGAAAAGAAATCCAGGTCCTTATCTACACAAAGCATTTAACATGTCAGAAGCTACATATTTTTATAGCTCTAAATTAATTGTTTTCCCAAAAAAAGTTTCTTCCAAAGGAAATTTCAAAATCCCACCCTTCCATTGTGATTGGGAACAGTTTTTGGTTTCATTTCAATTTCCATAGCAACAGGAAATTTTGTTTTCTGACAGGCTTTGCATACAAAAAACCTGATTTCCCTGGCCTCTTTTGAATAAATCAGCACACATTTTTATCCCTGTTAGTATATTGAACCTCTTTCCTTAACCCTTTAACTCCGTTTAGTTCATTGAAACACTATCTGTTTCTCCTTTGACAAAACAAATTTTCCTTATTTTCTTAACTTTTCAAATATGATTTCATTTCAAGGTGGTGGAATATAATCTCCGCACTGTATCATTTTAAAGTCAGGACCTACCTTTCTTTGTTATGTTTTGTCTCCATTAATATCCTGTGTTTGACATGCTGATCAGCCAGTCCATGTATGCTTAAAGAATGCCTTATGAATAATATAATGGCTACACAATATTTAAACTTTGTACCAAGTCTCCTGTAATTTTGAACAAAATATTTCAATCAACTGCTGAATAGATGCCAGACTTCTACAGTTTCTAAAGCTTCATCATTCATGGAATGAACAATGAAATCTCATGGTATTTAACACTGGCCTCACATGTGCCACAAAATTATTTATTATAAATGCTCTAAAGTTTCAAGATACATAGTTTAAATTCAAGCAGCCTCATAAATTTGGTTGTGAAAGAATAAATGAAAGAAAGTCAGCCTTATTCCTTTGTGCCTTGCCTACCTTTTTAGCTCCTATCAGTATTGTTGAAAAATGGCATCTCTGTGTCCCAATAGCAAGTGTTTCACCTGTCAATCACAGTAAAAATATTGTTGAGCCACTCTCTGAGCCCAGCCTAGTTCTCTCTCTCTCAGCCTTGCCTTCAGCTGAGCTTGGCTATGCACATGACTCCTTAATTGGAGGGAATATACATGTATTTCTTATTAGTCCCCACAGCTTCCCCTGCTCTTTGACCCTTTGACACAAACCTAAATAAGGCAGCATTCACAGCAACTGTCTGTGCAGATCTTCAGTCCTTCCTCTCTTTGATTAAAAGAGAAAAGTAATGGCATCCCTGACATGTGAGAAAATGGTGGCATGATAAAGCCCTGGATGAATTAATGGGGCAGTTCAAACCTTTGAACTCTGCTTTACCATAACAGTTGGAGAACTCTACAAAGGAATCGAAAGAGATGATGTTCTGTGGAGCACAGCTTCTGAAGATAGCATCTTCAGAGGATGGCTGGTACCCTCAATAGGTGTTTCCAGCTGCCTCCTAACCTTTTAGAAAATGGTCTGCTGATAGAAGATAACTTTAATATCATTAAAGCATTAATAAGATTTAGCTTCCACAACATTTTATTTGATTCTATTTGGGCAGTGCAGTCTTTTTTATTGATAGATTTTTTTTTTCTATATTTATCCATGTCTTTGGTGTAGCTGCTTCTCATTATTTATAGATATTTATATCAGAAAGGCTTTGTTGATGCTGATACAATTGAGTTTTCCATTGATGTTGAGATCTGAGCTTAATTATGTCTCTGAATGCTCGTTTGCAAGTCGTAATAAAACTGATAAACTTTTTTTTTTTTTTTCCAGTCAGTGCAACATAGACAGCCTGTATTCATTGTTAGCATAGATATTTATATCTATATCTGACTTTTTTTTTTTTTTTTTTTTTTTTTTTTTTTTTTCTTCCTGTTGTTAGATCTCATTGCTTTGCTTGCATGGATTATCCAAGAAAACTGTATAGGTTCTAAGTTGTGGGAAGATTTGATACTTATATCTTTATAAGTGCTGAGCAAACCTATCATGTTGCTCTGCTGATCTGAGAGTTGTTTATATTTTAAATAAATATATTTTGAGACTGTATCTATTTATGACTTTATCCCCCTGTGAATGGTTACTGCAGGTCATCTGTTGTTTCAGAAGTATTAGTTAATCATACAGGAAAAGGAGCACAAGTGAAACTTGATGATTTCTTCCTGTGGGAAAGTGAGCAATCATTTTTGTTCATTTTGAGATTCATAGATTAGCTCACTAGAAACTGTATTTTAACACATATGGCTTTGTAAACATTTGAAATAACATTTCTGAATTCTGAGGGCATAGAGAAACATTTATTTCCAGCACTTTCCCCAACTCAGCTAAAAGACCTGTCTCTCTAATATTCATTCAAGGATACTTTCAATATAAAATCAAATGCCAGCAATATATTTTTGCTGACATATTTAATTATCATTGCTGATATACTCAATGATTTGCTTCATTTTCATGTCATGACATATTGAAATAGGGGGTGTTCAAATAATTCTTAAAACCTAGAGTTTCTATTGTGTCCCAAACTGAATATGCATCCTTAAAAAATACTGTGGGCTTTAGAATAACTGAGAATAACTTGTATCAAATCATCTTTATTTCTTCTGAACCCTTCCATAAAATTATTGCTATGAGCATGCTAGAAATCTGCAGTTATGACTGCTGCAGAGGACAGAAAGATGTGCTTCTGTCTGCAACACGTCTATGGACCTCAAATGGATTTGGGCTGGAAGAAAGTCAAAATCCATGACCCAGTCTGAGTCATCTGCAAGAGCATGTGAGAGAGGTGAGAGGCTCTTCTCTGAGCCTGGGGAAAAGCTCTTTGTTCCTTGGAGGCTACCAGCAAACACAAGCATTTTTGTGGCTCCTGGTCAGAGGAAGCTGCAACATGACTTTGGCAAGCCCAGGAGAAAGCCTCTGCCAAACCCAGACTGTGAGGAGGGTGAGGTGCATGGGCAAGGAAGTGGAAGGAGCTGTTCAAGCACTTCTTTGTCTGGGAACCATCTATTTTGAATGACAGGTGTAACAAGTGATGACATCCTGAATTAATTTTCTCCATAGAACAGAATATTAATTTGTAAAAAATGTATGACCTGCAGCCTTTCTGGAATTCCACTTGCTTATTGCTATCTACAGTAGAACAGCTTTTTATTTATTTATTTATTTATTTTTTCTTCCTATTTTCTTTTCTTTTCACAAAGATCATCAGAGCTTTACAGAAGAAAGCAAGGTCCATCAAAGGAAAATATGGAGTGTAGTCACAGCTATGCTCAGTGGGGTTTAGTAATCCCTGTACCACAGGCCCCTCCAGTTCTTCTGTTTCTGGTCCTCATGGATGGGAGATGTTTGTAAACCTGTTTTTGGATACATCCCATGTTCAAGGTTATGTTCCTGCATCTTTCCTACACAGACAATTATATTAAAGTTAGTCCACAGGGCACTCTGGCTTTTTCAGGAGAGGTGAGTGATGGCTTACCTTCATTTTTTCTGGAAGACAGATCCACTATGTCTATATAGTATATGTCTATATGTCTCTCTTGTACTGAAAATTTTCTTGAACCCCTTCTACCCCCCACCCTACCCCTTATTTTTTATTTTTTTTCCTCCTGAGACAGTATGGGATAGCAGGACTCTATTCAGCATTAAAAAAACAAACAAACAAACAAACAAAAAAAAACTGTTAAAAGACTATTGTCTTTTACTTTGTTACTTTGTGACTGTTGGTTTTGACAAAATCATAGATTTCTGGTCAGCAAATTATTTCCATCCATCTGTAGCCCCAGAAACTTGCCTGGATCTTGGAAGTGCATCTGGTCCCAATTTCAAATTGAATTGCCTCATTTTTACTTGACGTGAGTGCGTGTGAACACTTAGCTCATAATTCCATTTCTATGCATCACAGTCCAAGAAGAAATCTCCCAACCAGTCCACTCCCAGCCCCAAAACAAATGTCAATATCTCCCTACTGTAGCTGTCTGTCTGTTGTAAGCTTTCCAAAGAGTATTTACAGTGTGGAAGAACTGTGCAGGGGAAGCACATGCCTCCTTCTGTGAGCTCCTATTTGTATGCAAAAGATTTTCATGGGATTACTGAAGATGAATTGCATTACTGATGTCAGTGAACCTCTCTTTTTGTCCAGTAACTGCCATTCTTTGCAGGGTCCTTTCAGCTGTGTAGATAATAGTAGGAGAATAAGAAGCTATATGACAAGAGTCAGCTACTTAGATCAGGCACACTTTTTCATTAATTAACTCTCATACTTGTGAGCTTCTCAGATGTTCCTAAATATGGTCAAACCAAGTTGCAGAGTAAACAGAGATTGGAAAATACCTGTATTTTACCTTTTGAACACCAGGGATGTTTATGGTAACAAAAAGCCTGGTAGTCTTTTTACATCACTGGTCTGAGTTCATTAGACAACATAGTTGCAGTCTAATTGGTTTCAATTAACTTTTGCCCTCCAAATACTGTGTGGAGAGCCACAGCTGAGCTCTCCTGGAGGTCAGAGTTAGATGGGACATGCAAAAAGCAGTTGGTTGCAGACATACACTAAACTGACTGATTGTTCTGTAGCAGTCAGTCTGAGCTGTGACAGGGTGGTGGCAGTGGAGGAATTGCTGACCTCTGAAGTCTTTGCATCCTGTCCTGGGCTTACCAGCATTTATCAGCCCTAGTAGTGGTTTTGTTTCATTTCAGCATAAAGCATTTGCTTTAAAATCTGCTTTGATGAGTATTATTGCTTGTAGGATGACAGAGAGTCTGAGTGCATTAACTGATAAACTGGCTTGGGAACGGCTTATTAGCATAAATATTAAATATGAGACTCAGCAGTGACTAATGGGTAATCCGTTTAACTCCTCTCTCTCTGACATACTTCTAGCCTATGACAAAAAGAGGTAGAATAAAAAGAGGATAAGTTAAGAGGCCTGGTGACTTTGGTGATTATAAGTGATTACAGTAATATGTGGTTTTTTTTCTTTTCTTGGGTATAGCTGATAATCACTGGCATGTCAATGCCAATGGCAGTGGCTTATCAATACAAGCAGCAAAATATATTGTTACTTGGGAATTTGAGGTTTAATTAGACAGATGTTTTAGTTTAACCACGTTTCATTTGATAAAATTTGCTCACAGAATAAACAGTTTTTCTGCTTCCTTACCTCTGCTCTTGCAAAAGGCAGTGGAGATTTGGTTTATATTAGCCTTAAATTCAATGCAATTTCTGCAAGAGATTTCAGGCAGTGTTTTTCTAGTCTATGAAAAAGCAACAAAATTATTATATGGAAAAATATTTGAAATGATTGGTAGCTTTTCATCTGAGACATCCAAGCTTTTTGTTAGAACTATTAAAATATTTTTAGAGAGACATGCAAGTTCTTGAAGCTGATTTCCTGCTTATCTGTCTAAACATGGAAGATGTCGTAAATCAGGTTATTAATAGCCTGATCCAAAGGGTCAGTGTGCGTCAGTAGATGAAAAATAGATAAGAAGTAACTTTTAAATTATTTGAAGATTGGCTGATATATCTCAAACTCATAATGAATCTCTGTGAATGGAACACAACCAATTTTTGTGTTTTCCTTTGGATTATTGAATAGGAGTAGGACTTGCAGAGATGGTAGTTAAAAATCTTGATCACTTTGAAGATAATGTTTTGCAAATGTTATATTGTCTTCTTTGGCCATAAAAGAGATTTTCTTAAGCAGTTTGATGTGCTAGTAGTCATAACTGTAGGATGTGATGATGTTTGTTTCTTGGTCCTGAATGAAGCAAGGCATTATAAAGCTAAAATGCAAAGCTTTTAGCTGTACTGTCAGCTGCTTGGAAAACATCTTCACTACAGTGGGCAGAAGTTGGACAAACTAACTAATTCATCTGGCTTCAAAACTGGATAGATTCTCCCAGAAGATGGCAGTGCACCTATGAGTAGTGTTCTGCCAGCTTTGCAAGCCATATCATTTCTAGCTGTTTTTTATATGTTGTGTGCAATAACAAATCCAAGTAATGAAAGATGTGTGTGGATACAAAGGACACTTTTGATGCTAAAATATGAACACAGGTGTTCCAGAAAGTCTGTATATCCTGCATAGATGGTAATGGACTGAACACTTCTGGATAGGTCAGTAAATTGTTTAGCATGCTGAAGCACCAACCAGCATACTGAAGATCCTCTTTCCCTTGGAGTCCTTCAGATAATCCCTATGTAAAACCCACAACCAGAGCTTTAAAATGTGTCTAGGTTCTAAAAGTGTCATTGTTTGCACAGGAACAGATCAATGTAGGATAGCAGTAGCTAAGAAATGGAGGAAATTACGATGTTTAACACTCTGGCTATGTTACTTCTTTGCTCCATTGTTTCTCAGTGAAAAATTCGTTTGTCCAGATAGGGATCAAAAATAGATGTTCAGAAAAAAAAAAAAAAAAAAAAACAACACAAAACAAAACACAAAAAATGACTACTTCTTTATTAATTCTAGTCTAAGAGTAATCAGTATTTGCTGTAAATATAGGGATATTTCCAGTTCAGTTTCTAAAGTTGTAATCTAAGTATGGATTTTCAGATGTGTAATCAAATGAGAACTACTTAACCTTTCAGAATTTCCTCCACCTCTTATCATTTTATTTATTTCTGAATTATCAGTAGAGAATGCTAATATCCCTTTTAAAAAAAATCCAATCCATTCTATAGTTACGATTTACAAATAAAAGTCACTAGCTCTTCTGCAGTGTTTGTTTTATGAACTGTTTGATATGCATATTTACATGTATGAACATGTGATGTAACTGAATGAAGAGGGGGAAGGAGTTTGTGCAGAAGGGAGGGAGAATAGAGGAGCTTTAGAAATATAGCAATTCTTACAGGAAAATTTTGGAACAAAAGGTTGCCATCCATGCTCTGTCTTACCCAGAATTACTACCGGTACCTAGAGAACATTTAAATATTTATTCTCTGCAGCTTAGTTTGAAAAAAGTTCTGTTATGGCTTATCTGTAACCAATTATTTAGTTTTCCAAACAGCGAAGATGCACTGGCAGTAAAAATAAATAAATAAATTAATTAAATAAATAAAGCTGTTTATTTAATGTAAAAAAGAGATTTAAAAACACACACACACACACACACACACACACACACACACCACGATTGTATGTTCTTGTTCTGCAGTCAAATATAATTACATATTCTTGTTCTCCTGCTTAGACACTGTACATTCTAATTTTACTAAACTAACAGGAGCTGCATCATTTCCTTTGCAAAAAAAAGCAAAACCAAAACCAAAACAAACAAACAAACAGTCAAAACACCTACAAAAACAAACAAGAAAGTAAAATGTTGTATTTGTTTTCACTTTCCTCCTCCAGTAAGTCATGGGAGCTGTGAAATTATGTTTTTAAATTGTAGATGTCTGCCCTCTGTTTGAAAGGTGTGTTTGTCTTCATCATAGAACAACCATCTTTAATTTCTTGGAGGACTCATCTATGATTGGATTTGACATGGCCATAAAGTCAGTCAGACAAAATCTTCCTTATTTCCTGAAGGGATAAAGCAGCACTTTCCTAATCAGATGGCCAACAAGCCTGTGCAACCCATCTTTAATGGAAACAATCACAATCCATAAGTTATATGAAGGGGACAGTGGTGACAGATTTGATCCTGTCTCTCATTCACCAGTAAAGCCTATTGCCAATTCCCATTTCACCACCCAATAACCACCCTTTCACTACAGAAAAGTATCCTTCCCCTTTGTCAGGAGAAGGCTTACATTAAACCCAGCACTTCCTCCCCACCAATCACTTTTTTAACATAATTCATCTGATGCCTGCACATCTCCCACTAGTCGTATAATTGACTAAGCTCTTGGGTCCTGTGCTCCATACTGTGCCTGTTGGCATTTGCTGCTGCCACTGTGTAACCTGGATATGCTGTGATATGTAAATGATACTGCTTGCTATTTTCTTGCTCCGTTTGTGTAAAATCTCAATAAAAGTGAAAATTAACAATAGTCAAACTGTGCAAATATCTTGGCTGACTATTCCACAATAAGGCAACCTACCTCAACACCAATAAAATTTTGACATTACTCTTTCTTTGTGTATTTTTTCTCTGTGTTTGTTAGTGAATTCTCTATCTTTAATCTCACATCTCGAGGTAAAACCAACCACATGACTTGGTCTAGCATAATATAGTCCTGTGTCAAATTCTGGGACCCTTACATTAACAAATGATATTTACATTACAGGCAAAAAGGCATTACTAAAAAGAAAGAAAGGATCACAATATGTGATTTATTATAGGGTCCGTGTCTGACAAAGTCTTTTTTTTTTTTTTTTTTTTTTTTTTTGTGAATTGTATGTGAATTATAAATAAATCCACTGTGCCTTCAATAATTAAGCCATTAAAGTTATTTTCTATCATACGATACTGTGATTCAGGTGCTTAAGATACTGAAATTCATCTGATGTTTTCTTCTACTGGAGTTCTGTGTATTTTCAGGAAATTAATTTCATGGGACACACTTAAAATACATAAACTACATTGGACTCTTTCTGAAAACTCAGTAACAGCTTTGCTGTTAGACAGGAAGATTGGGGAAGCTGGTTGCAGTCTTTCTGTGATAATTGACTACAACTAATAATATAATGCTTACAGTGCTCCACTAGGAAGCAGGATAGCCAAGTCTGAACTACCCTTTATCCAGAGTGAGTTCAAACATGCAGCTTCCAGGACAGCCCTAATCTGAAATTCATCTCTCTTTTGTAGCTGTGTCCGTGGACAGAAAAAAAATAAAATAGGAATGCTTGGGACAGAAAGATCATGTAGCTGTCCTGCAGGCATTGTAGGTGATCAGCATTAGACTAGTTTGTGTTGATTTATCCGTGGTCCTCCTACAATCCCTGATGGTGCTGTAGCCTCACAGTCTGTTCATTTTCTGTCCCAATGCTGAGCATCCCATTTCCTTCAGTGTCCTGCAAACCAACCCTTATTACTGGTGAATTTCTGATATCAGATTGGGTAGCCTGAAGATCCTAGAAAGGAAACCAGATCTTTACAGAACTGAATTGCCCTTTTTAGCATAAAAGAGACTAATTGGAAAAAAAAAAAATAAAAAAAATCTGTACAATACGTGACTCCTAGACTCTTCTCAAGGATGTTTTGGGGCTGCACACATTTTGGCTGGTATCTGAAAACAGCTCACTGAAAACAGCTGCTCTATGAACATGGGTACAGATTTTGCTGACGGCTGGTTGCAGAAGTAAGAAGGTAGATAAGCCATCCCAGGTATTTTGAATACAGCCTCAGGCTGCAAGTATAGCAACATCATTAGCAATCAGAGGTTATGTTGTCTAGGTACTGTTTATAGAGGACCTCGTTATGCTTGGGAGCTCTCGCAACCCTTCTGTCATTACCCTTTTAATTCTTTTTTAATTGAAGGTGCAGACAAGCATCCATTGTACTATCTAACCTTGGAACATATTCACTTTTGTGAGTAGTTCTTACTAAATAGCGAACACACTTCTAGCAGACAGATGAATCTGAGCCTTTTCCTGCCAAGTCCTTGTCCCAGGCTGGCAGGATGAACATTTTCCACTAGGTACTGAGCTTTCCTCAGTGCAGTGCATGCATGATGAAGGGAAGAGGAGGCTCATATGTAGCTACAACATTGTTTGCATGAATTAGTGCCAAAAAAAAGGAGGGACACACACACACACTCTTCCATCCTGGTGTTCAGGTTACAAGGAGTTGAAAAGCTTCATTTCTTCCAAGAGCCTGGTGTTCCTAGCTCCTGAATAAAGTATGTAGACAACATGTCTGGCAAATTTTGAGCTGCCACTTCAGGTAATGAGTTACTGAGGAGATTTTTTGCATCTCCTAAAAACAGTATCTTGCAGGATGCTGGACATCATCTGTGATAGACAGCAAGGGATTCAGGCTGAAAGGACCTTCAAAAGTCCTGCAAAAATGAGATTTGAATAACAGATGAGTCTGAGTTCAAGCTTCTTGAAATGCAGCAATGTGAACCAGACACAAATTTTAAGTAGAGTTTAGGCTCCCTTGAGCCATGAGACTTGGAGATCTTGAGCTGAAATGTGTACACACCTAGACAGAGGACTAGGACTCATGTGTGGGCACAAGATATGTTCATGGAAAATGTATTGAATAGTTATGTCACAACATGGAGTTAGTATCAAGGGATATATTTATATGTGTATATATATATGTGCAGGGAGAAGATTAGGAGGATTATGGGAGAGTTTCTTTTTATTAATGGATAGCCCTAGATGGTATTTGGCAGCTGTTTGGACAACTTGTCTACTATGCATGTCTTCTGTTGTGGGGTATTCACAACAAAGTGCTAATAAGATTCTTTAATCAATGTCCTGAAATAACCATATAAAGCTGTCTTTTTTTTTTTTTTTTTTTTTTCTTTTTCTTTCCATAGGCTACATTTTATGATTCACCCTATCCAAACATTTTTTTTTTTTTTTTTTTTAATTAACTACAGGCTGATCTCTATGCATTTATACACATCTCTCTAAGAACTGTTGAGTAAGATGCTCAGATAACGTAGGAATTCTGTGTAATTCTGTGAAGCTTTCTTGTGCTGAAGAATGAATCTTGCTGACAGTGGAAGATCTTAAGAATTATTATAGTCAGTGAAGTTCAAAGAATACTCAGCCCTATTGGAGGCTTTCAATACCCTTACATTTCTCAAGTATCACAGAGGGGATGCTGAACTTCCAACTGAAGTGACTGCAGTGCAATATTTTCGGATCTATGTAGCTCAGTCGTTTGAATGTTGTTTTAGTTTCTTAAGATCACTTTGGATTTCACGCTAAATTTTTAAGGTTATAAATACTTCTCAAGTCAAGATAATTTCTTATCTTTTCCAAGTGAATCACCTTCATGCTTGAATGAATTGAAGTTCAGTTACACAGCAGCATAAGGGAATATTGTATTGGTGATAGAGCATTTTTAGTCTGAATTTCTGTGTCAGGGCATACATTAAATGACTACTCTGACAAAGTACCAATCCTATCTCTGTAACCAAAAATGCTGAGTAATTTCTACAACTGAAAAGGAATACATTTCCATTTGTCTTCTTTGAGTTGAAATCCGAGAGTTTAAGAAAGACAGTATATAAGGGTATTCTAAGTGGGATATCCATCATAAAAACAATGATAATTTTTATGTATTGTAGTTTATTTTTTATTTGCTTATACATATGAACATACACATACATATATATGTGTACATGCACATATATTTATATTTAAAATTTATATATACATAAAATTTATACATATTTGTGCATGAGTACTAGTATGTTTAACTAATTTTCTTAGTACATGCACATAGGATAAGCTTCTACACTTAAGCACTCTTTTAATCATTCTCTAATTTCATGCAAATGAAATTGATAGCAGAGAGTTTTCAGAAATCCCTTGATTCAGTATGCAATGCAGAGCTCAGGTGGCTGTATATGTATGTATGACAGCCTTATTTCACAGTGTTCGTGAATGTGTTATTCATTATGTGTGTTATTCTTTGTGTGTAGTGGTAGCAATTATAGACACTGGAACAAAACCACTTTGCATTATACTGACAGTTTTTGTCAATTTACAGTATTTTACTGATACTCATTACCAGGAGATATTTGGGAAATGAGGAGTTAAAAAAGACACTTTTAAAATTTTTTCTCATAGTCTAAGAGGAGTTCTGCTGCAGAGACAGAACTGAATGTGTTGAGGGTCAGATTTCAATAGAGTTGTACAGATCTTCATTTTTTTCCAAGTCCCCCTGCCTCTCTCCCCGCCCCACATGGCTTTGTATACATTAATAAATGAAGTGAAAGACTCTTACATTTATCTGTGATGCCTCACTAGATTGTAATCTATATTTGCAAAATAGTATACCAATTGTGCAGAGCTGGTTTGATTAAAAATGATCAGAGAGAGATACATGACAACCTGAGACAAAAATCTGCATATAACTGGGCCTTTGGCACAATGTTTGCAAACCACATGTTTTGTCTCTTCTTCTTAGAGTCTTGGATCATACTTGGATCATTGGCTCTGAGCAATGTTCAAAGAATTTTGTATGTATCCAGAAGTATTATTATTCCATTCTTGGGAGACAAGAAAATGAGAGAGAGAGAAAGAAAGTATGTTCTTCTGCCATGGAAAATCCCACTGCATCCAGTTTCAAGAGGGAATCCTTAGACCCGGGGGGATTGCTGGTTAACTCTCATACAATATTTAAAATATTTCCTGGTTGTGACCTTAGGTAGCAGCTGGAATACAAGAACTTGATATTTTATGAGGTAAGTCAGATCAGATCTGGCTTTTTCCTAAGAAGTTACTTGGAACAAGTAACAGCAGAAGATAAGGAAGTGACTAAACAAAGTTTTCAGCAATACCAAGAATGGAGAAACTGCTTTTCCTTTCATTGTTTGGATGCTGCTGGTGTTCTTAGTGGTAGTCACAGGGAACCGCAGAAAAGGACAAACCAAGAATAAAGAATGTTGGTTGTCTGATAAAGCTGGTTTCTTTAAAAAAATCCTTAAGCTCAGACTGAACAGTTTCTTGCAGATGACATGTTTCTCCTGCTGTTGTGTGGTTTGATGCACTAGGCAGGTTACCCAGAAGTTATATATTGCATATTACTATCATGTTACCAAATATACTGTTGAAGAACAGTACATAGTAAGCAAGAAAGCAACACTATTGATGTGTTCAGTTGATATCTTTGTTATATGTAGAGGAAAATACCTCAACAATTCCTCTTTTTAAAGAGGAAAATACCTATTTCAGTAGTATCACAAAAGACACAACACAAAAAATGCTTCAAATTTGTGAGAACCACATTGTTCAGTTCATGTATGCATCTGTATTGGTCTTACATGGCAAGGTTTGTAGGGAGTTGGCGGAAGGAGGGAACATGTGGGTATGTTGAGGAGGAGTGCTACAGGGGTGGCCTCCATGAGCAGAGTCCAGCACCTGCCCCATGTCAGATCAGAGCCAGCTCCAGTCGACTCCAAACGGGACCTGATGTTGGTCAGAGCCGAAACTGGTAGTGAAT